TCCGTCTCCCCTCACTCTGGAGTGCCTCTTTTGGAAACGTTGACCTGCCTGGGGAGAAGGCAGCGGCAGCGGCAGCCACAACCTCCTCCCGATGCCGGTGCCGAGTCCTTCTGGTGGGAAGCGGAGGACGGACGTGCCTGGAAGGGAGGCGGGCAACCGAGCCGAGGAAGCTGCCCGAAGAGAGCGGGCGGACTCGCCGGCTCTGGGCGAGCCGAGCTTCTTCCCCTCCTCCGGGCGCGGAGGGAGCGAAGCAGCCGGGCGAGCGACCGACTCACCTTCCTGACGGGCGCGGCGAGGAACCTGGCCGGGCTTGGCAGAGTCCGGCGGCCGCTGCTCTTCGCCCAGCTGGCGTCACTCTCCATGGCCAGGCAGGCTGGCGAGGAAGAGGCTACAGCGGTGGCGGGCCGGCTGCTCCAACCTCTTTCTTCCCTCCCTCCCTCTCTCTCTCTGTCTCCCTTCCCCGCCACCACAGGCCGCCCCCTCGAGCGTGATCTCTTGCGTGGGGCGCCGCCGCCGCCGCCGCCGCCGCCGGTCTCCTTCCAACCAGCCCGGGAACTGCAGAGAGGGAAGGCTGGCTGCCCTCTCGGGGTTTGGGGTGGGGCCACCAGAGCGGGGAGGAAAGGACGCCTTTGGGGAGATGAGATGAGGGGTGGGGGAAATCGTGTGTCTATGAGTTCCATAGGCGGAAAAGGGCGCCTAGGAACAGAGCAGGGGAAGCGACAAACCGATGCTTAGACGGGGTGGAGGAGACGATGCTCCTTGGGGCATTACGCCTCTCTCATCGTCTGGGCTCAATCTGCTGCCGGGCCCGTTACCTAACCAAGATGAGGATTCTTCAGAGAATGCCTCTGGGCATGTACAGAGTGTGTGCCCCCATTCCCGCAACGGAAGAAGCGAGATAGGATCCCGTGCCTCTCCCCTTCAAGGACCAGAGTTCATTCCGACCAGGGCAAAGGGTAGGTACGTCGCTCTTATCTCCTCCCGGCAGGTTTGAGACCCAGGAGCTGTCAGGGGACGAAGGTGTTCCTCACCCTGACCCCGACGCCCTCCCCCCCCGTTCCTGGTCTTGCCCCTGCAGATTTGGCTCTCTCTCTCACACACACACACACACACACACACACGCTCCCAAGCGTCTCTATCCCTCCCAGCCCAGCTTGTTCTTCTTGCGTTGCTATGGAGCGAGGCGTTTCCAAGGGACATGCCAGGCAGCACCTGTGGCTGAAGCCGCCTCAGTTCAGTCTCCAGCCGAGCCAGCCTGCAGGGAGGGAGGCAGGGAGACTCTGCTCCCTCTCTCACACACACACACACACGCTGTCCGTGCACCACAGGAGCAAGAGCACCGGGAATGGGAGGGGGGACAAGGCGGGAGAGCCGTGCACCACAGGAGCAAGAGCACCGGAATGGGAGGGGGGACAAGGCGGGAGAGCCCGGTTCCCCAGTCGCCTTTCTTCTTGGCCGCCCTAGACTCTTGCGCGCGTGGACGCTTCCTCTCGCCCCCCCCCTTTCTGCAGTTTGGTGCCCCTGTTAAGAGCCTTTGACACCCCATGTCCGTTCCCAC